AAACCTTGCCCTTTCAAAGATTGCACGTGGTCCATTCCCGAGTTAAAGGGATTTTTCCTTGACTCGAAATTCGGACCGACGATCGCACCGCCCGTAGGAAACAGGCGTCATAGCGTCTTCACGAGACGTTGACCCATATTCCGAAGCGGACAGAAAAAAAAGGGTGCGTTCGACTCGCCGGTGTTTGTTTCCAGGCAAATACCTGCGAGACTAGAGTCTGACCGTCCTTCCACGCTCCATCCTTTTCTACTCCCTTCTCTCTCTCTCTAAAAACCCACTTCTCCGGAGTTTGGACGTAACAAGAACATAAAAATTATTTTGCAAGAAAAATATATTTGAATAATATAAGGTACCACCTCCGCACATTTAAGCTATAGAGACGCTCTTGAGCGTCACGTGAGCGCTCGGTTATAGATTAAAATTACATTTTTAATATTTCTTTCTCCTTTATCTCATCAATAATCTAGAATTTTGCGTTAAAACTACCTTAAGAAATAAAATTGTATGAATGTATTAATTATAAATCGTGCTTAAATTTCTGATTTAGTAACTTTAAAATAAAATCAAACAATTTAGAGAAACAGCTATTTATTTTTGTACTTCATGTATAAAAATATGTAGGGAGGATCCTGATTGACTATATTATGGTTGGATGCAACCACTCAGTGACCAGTATCTGAAGATTTCCCACTATTCAAATGCTGTGAGTGGCTTGTGTGCAATCGTATCGTGATCAAACATATCCAATACATAAATTTTATTATATATATCATAAAATAGTCTATATTGACATCTATATCTTTTGTAGCAATATATTTGTGATAACTGATATGTTACAGAATAATAAAAAACTATTCTAAATATTACTATTATTACTATTGTAGAGACACATTCACACTCATTTTGGTATACTCCATGCTCTACACTCTGTCACACATACTTCGCGATCAGATGGCGCGCTATCACTACACTATACGAGGGGGGACCCATAAGTTCCGGGAATTACGCTGTGGTGGGGAGGGAGAGTGGGGGAACCTATTGTTTGACCACATGTCCGTTAGTGTCACGCCACCTGCGTCAGTGTGCGAAGTTGTGTCGCTGTGAGTGCATCGGTTCGCCTGTGAGATTTTTTTTAGTAAAACAACTTTTTACATTTCGGCGAAAACGTAATGGCAGATTGTCGAGAACAACGCGCGGCTGTGAAATTTTGTTTCCTGTTG